TAGTTAAGTTGTACCACGAACAACACTCACGTCTGTTGTTGATTAAGGGAACTCCTTTTATTTTTACTTTCTAACTCGGAACTAGTTCAAGCTTCTCTTCTCAGAATTGTGTAGACAACTGGAACGAATTGTGGTTACATTTGAGATAAATTTCATTAGAATTAAAGAAAATCTTGAAATAAAGTTCAGTAATCATAGTCAATATTATAAACGCGAAAGTTTCGATGGATGGATGGATGTTTGTTAGAATTAGTTTAAACGGCTGAACGGATTTCGATTAAATTTGACATAGATGTAGAGGATAGTCTGGAAGAAGTGAGTAGCTAATGTGTAGCTACTCACTTTTGTTTATTTTAATTCCACGCTGACGGAGTCGCGGGCAATAGCTAGTCTTTAATAACTTTCTTCAAACACGCATCACGGTCTCTGAACGGAACGTATTAAGGACATCACAGTTGATCGAATCGATCAACGATTAATAAGTACAATGCAGTCGATAAGTGGTTTTATTGACACGGTATTTGTCCCCTTTGAATACTCCATTGACTGTAGACAGTCTTGCTTGATTTTTACGTACTAGTTAACATTCTGTTTGCATTAGTTCGATTAAACAATGTATTATAAAAATATAGTTTGATGAGAATAAATCTGTCGCCTAATAGCGAGATATACAAAAAGACAGAAGATATCCAACACTTGTTGGAATGTGAGTGTAACAAATGGGAGCGCGAGCTATTTTTCTGTGAGTTGAAGCTTAACCTGTCTGATGTAGACATTATTATATCAATACTAGCTGAGCCTACCGACGCGGCTGTCTGATTATGCCAGCTAGTTACTTAAACACTAAGAGTAGCACTATGGGATTGCGAGTCTTTACAAAGACAAACATCCCTCGTTCTCCTAATAAAGATTGAAACAAATCGAATATAGTTAGATACTAGTTAAACACATGTTTTATACTTTGACAGCCGCTGATAGAATGGACATCAATGGGCTTATATGTTGCAACATAAATATGTATGAAGGGGATCGCGGAACACCTATATAAACACAACAACAACAAACTAAGTAGCAGCAAAAATGTATCTTTCAACTTTCAGTGTAGTTTACTTTTTATAACACAAGATATTAGATAATAGAAGGCTCTGACTCCAGAAACGTAATTATTACTATTTTAAAGACACAACCCCGCTGATTTTGTACAAAACGGTTTATGGTCCAATGAAGATTTTTTTTTATGAGCAATGAATGTGGAAGGATACACCGGTAGACCTAGAAAGAGATAGATGGACTGCGTGAAAGGTGACTTGATCAAGAAGGGAGTGATGACTAAGATGACGGATGATAGAGTTATTTAGAGGACGAAAACCCGGTGCGCCGACTCTACAGGAGTAGGATAAGGTAGGGTAAAATAATAAGGAATTTATATATTTTTTTATTTAATGCCAGAGTGTATTTGTAATACAATGTAGTTGTAAAATGGGATGAGATGAATTAACGCGTCAGGAATTAACAAAGCGTACGTTCGGGTTTTGACATCATCTCGATGTTGCCTCAAGGTTGAAGAACAGGTTACGGACAAAGTCGAGGCTGCGCGGCCGCACAAAAACATACCCAGTGAATATATCATAATTATATTACACGTGAAACGTAAAGGAAATCATTAAATTGATTACATAATGTAATTGGATAAGTATTATAAATAATGGTCCTTAGCAATAATTATACTACGTAACATTTTGTTACACTATACAAAGGGTTCCTATTGAAGTAGAGACTATGATGTGCGTTGCACTTTTTCAGTCTTAATATACAATTACTTGTATTGATAAAAAACCTATGTTCTAACGTTTAAGGTTTTAACTGTTTATAGAAAACAATTCCATTTGTCTTTTTAAAGGCATAAAAACATAAACCCTAAACTCCATGTTATAACTGACGATGTGTATGATATTGTCAATTATTCAAGTGTGTAAATATGTGTTGTTATACTATAAATTCTGTTTAATTTGTAGGACGATACAACGTGTGGGCTGAGGTCAAAATGGCTACAACACCCCCGCTATAACGAGATATATTCATAACTCGTTCATTCATTAAAACCTTGGACTATAAAGTAACGGACTAGGCAAAATACCGCTATCGTATTAAAATTCGGCTACATTTTGCATAGGGTCAAAGATGAGAATCATAGTCGTGCATGTTAAGTTGAAAATTGTATAAAATCGCTTATATCCGAAACGACCTGCGCGCGGAATTACAAGAAAAACTTGAGTACTCTCTCTCTGGATCAAATATCACGCAGAACTATGCAGCCGTTCTGAATTTACGTAGTAAAAAAACATCCATCCAACGACACTTTCGAATTTATAATATTAGTATCATCGTTATTAATGCTTACTGACTTAAATTTCACACTCAATAAAGAATGTACATGCAAGCTTAAACGTTATTCGTTCTTTTTGAGAGGGGGAGTGAGCTTGACAGATCCCGTCTTTTAAAAGGCAAAGATTAAAACAATAAAACGCTTATGTCATACCACAGGCGTCTAAATAATTGAAACAGAGTGATTTATATTAATGAATCCTATTTGTAAACGACAGTTCCCACAAATCGTAATTCCAGCGTAACTGGATAATTGATTGGAAATGTTTATTTGTTTTATGATACCACAATGACACGTCTCATTGTTTTATTATTTACAAGCATAACAAAATAAACAATAGTTTGTAAATACTGGCAGTTTGTTTAAAAGTGGGATTCTATTTTACAAGATACCGTGATTTTTCTTCTTTGCCATTTGATTTCGCTTTAGACGTGCACATATAAGCAATAGGTTACAATTTTTGTTCACTGTTGACAGTGTGACTTCATCCGCATGAAATTATAAACACTTTATTTCACTGTTTAAATTTGTCAAATTCTCAATTGCTAATGTCAAAATTACCGTTACTACAATATACTTGCTTCCTTAATGTTGGTAGCTTGTTTATGGCCCCTTTCCCACATGAGGGATTTTTTCAATTTATTTACCCCCTGAGTTTAATAGCGTGAAAATATAGCATGACGTAAGTGTAGGGCTTTTTTTATTAAAAAAAGATTTTTTAAAAAATATGCTGTAATTGCTGACATCTTAGGCAAAAATTAAACTAAACCCTATATCATAGACAATCTGCACTTTACGATGAAGCTCGAAAATTCAAATATATTTCTAGTTAAAATATTTTATAACTAGCTATTGCCGGCGTCTTCCGCGTGGAATTAAAAAATATAAATAAATAACGTAGCCTTAGCGATAATGAAACTTTCTATAGATAAAAGAATTCTTAAAATGAAACCAATATGGCCACCATATAGATTTCAGGGTGCCTTTGTTTTATTAATTCAAACAAAGATTAAAAAATGTAGTTAACTGTATAAGTACTAATTGACATTTATATTTGTTTTATGACACATTCTTCAAAGTTAAGATTTGAAATATTGAAATATGTCGTAGTAATAAATCAAGCATGAAGCATGCTTAATTACTTTTCACGCTTACCTCAAGAAAATCTCTACAAATGATGACATTTAACCATAAACTAACTGCCATAGATAAAGCGATTTAACACTTTAAAGAAAATAATGTATTCCATCTTTATATTGTCTTACTTTATGTTGTACGTAGGCGAGAAAATTTACAGCAAATAAATTTTGACGAAACTTAAATTTTGACGAAATATATATATATATATATATATATATTCTCGAAGTTTCGTCAAAATTTATTTATTTTGACGAAATTTATTATATATATTCATAGGAATCAAAGCAAGACTAAACAGTTGTGCGAGAGTTCAGTCAAACTGTACGCATGCTCTTAACCACCAGTTAGTATGGCTTAAAACTCCAACCAGGTGGCGCTTCAATCGGGTTTTTTTTATTATGAATCATTTATCACTTTCTATGCGTTAATGTACGCTTAGAAATGATTTCAATCTTTGATAAGATGACGAGCCTTTAATGTTTCTGGTTAGTCTATACTTATAAATATGTCCACTGTCTTTCATGTAAAAAGTTAGCGTGGTATGGGCATGCTATGAGGGATGAATCGTATATAACAGGAAGGGCCTTAGTTATGTATGAGTGTGGTACACCGGTAGAGGTAGACCTAGAAAGAGATGGATGGGTTGCGTGAAAGGAGACATGATCAAGAAGGGAATGATGACTGAGATGACGGATGATAGAGTTATTCGGAAGATAACCCGGTGACCAACCCTACAGGAGTAGGATAAGGAGATGATGTCTTTCATGTAATTTACCCGTACACGAGAATATTACGTAATATTTGCAGTATATAATTATTAATTACTAGCACAGCTGCTGTTGAGTTATTATTGCATTATTATTAACTAAGATAATAACGCACAAAGGTTATGCAAATGCAGGAAATTCGAAGTCGATGTAAATAAGATGTCTATCTTACAAAGTTATGTTTATACCTAACTTTACAGTCAATAAATTCAATTAATATGTTATTTTTATCCTAACCTATTAACTTGCGTAGCTAAAACGATGAAATTATTTTTAATCTACGTAATTTTTAAATCTTTCTTAATCTTTGCCTGATCTTTTTTATTCTTTGCCCGATTAAATAAGGGATTCTAAATGTATACAAATTACGGTGCAATATCCTCACGTAGTAGTCATTATAGTTTAACGCAACTATGATAAACAGATTGAAATCATGACCAGTTAATAACCTAATATTTCTTAAATAAATATAATCATTTACGTTTCGTGACAAAGTTCTTTGCAGATTTAGTTATGCGGCGATATATTTGGTAACCATCAATGTATGTAAATACGACATTGTTAAAACGTGCTGACAAATATTTGCAATTCACATTGCAAAGCTTCGTTTGGTTTTAAAATTATTTTACCACTGTGTTTACATATTTGAATTTATAATGGAAATGTTTAAAAAAGTATATTTGAAATATCCATGACTTTTTTGACAGACATTCAGCGGTCGACGTCAGTGCCGAGACTAACAGAAAAAATGACGTCGACAAAAGATGGCAGAAGACGGATGGAGATAGGTGAGAGAAAACTATTCAACTAGATGGCGCTAGGATCGAAATAGATCTCGATATTGTTTGGTTATAAGGCGGCTTCAATTGAGTTAAATGATTCGACAATCATTATTACGATTCATTACGAGTGTTAATATGTTCATAGGAATAATTACATTATAACTGGGTTTTTGTAAACAGCTAGCCTGGACTAGTATGATGGAATGGCTTTTTCTGCTCTAATACCCGCCATGTGTAGAGTTCCGAACAATAGTCCTTACTTTCACTTAACCAAAGACAATGACCAAAATCTCTCAACAGGCTGTCAACGTGCACAGAACGTTCTACTTTACTCCGATCTCATGCAGCGAAGTCTGCAGAATGTAGTAGTCACAGCTCCCCTCGCCCGCGCCGCGCGCCCCGCGAGTCCCGGCGTGTGTCACTCGCGCAGGCACCGGGATACGTTCAGCTCAACCAGTATCGGCTACTAGAACCAATTGGTCAGGTAAAATATTCAAAGCCTCGGATATTCAAACTTTGAAAATGTTTCAATGATGGATAGAATTTATCAGAGTCTTTATTAGTTGAAACTTTCGACTTTTCTATATTAGTACTCGTATTATTACACTTGAGTATAAAATCACTCTTGGGCTTCGTAATAGTACTAAGAAGTACTGCTAATATTTTTTTCCAAATAGTAAGAATATCATAATCCCAAACAATCCAAGACGAAGGCCATTGACGGAGAGTAATCTTTTCGTAAATCCGACAAATGATCTTGCGCTGAAAAGTTATTTGTCCCTTAGATCAGAAAAAAAAACAGCATAGACTATTATAATTAATATTATGTAACTAAATAATTAACATCACTAAATTATTTCAGGGTTCCTACGGTATAGTTAAGTTAGCTTACAACGAAGAGGATGATACGCATTATGTAAGTAATAGCATTCGCCCGCGACTCCGTCTGAGCGGAATAAAAAAACAAAAGCGGATAGCCTACGGATTTTCCAGACTAAGCTAAGCATCTTTACTAAATTTCATTGGTATCTGTTACGCAGTTTAGGCTACAAACTCTAACAAACATCCATCCATCTATACTTTCACATTTATAATAATAGCACGAATCCTGCATTCATACATTATACATGAAATTTCATCCTGTACTTGCCATTGCATGTCCCTATAGTAGAGTAAGATATACAACGTATTCGATTTACCACAGGCAATGAAGATCCTGTCAAAGCGTAAGTTGATGCGGCGCGCAGGTCTTTTTGGGAGAGCTCCGCCGCGGCGTCCTGGCCCTGGGCCCCAAGCACCCGGGCCTCCGCCGGACCCATTGCAGAGGATCTACAGGGAGATAGCCGTGCTCAAGAAATTAGACCATCCTAATGTAGTTAAATTAGTTGAGGTGAGTCATTGTCATAGCTAAAATTTTCAAATTTTGATTCCCATTGTTTTCTAGTAAATAACGGTTTCCTGTGTTTTTCTATAATAGATAACTTTTCTAAGCAATTCGTTTTCCATCAAACTGCAGAAGATAACTGTTATTTTTTGTTTTGCTTAGGTCTTAGACGACCCAGCTGAAGACCAATTGTACTTAGTGTTCCAGCTGTTAGAAGGAGGTCCTGTGATAGATATACCGACTGAAAATCCTTTAGATGAAAACGTAGCAAGAAAATATTTTAGAGATTCATTACTAGGGATCGAGTACTGTAAGTACACAATATAATTAACACTAATATCACAATGTAGTGAATTATCAAAATAATTCTTATATAACCTTAAATAATGCCACAAATTTTAAATATGAACAATATTGTACATTTAAGTATCAAGTAGTGCTCTATAATTTCAATTCTGAACGATTTTATTTTCTGTTTTAGTACATTTTCAACGAATAGCACACCGTGATATCAAACCTGCGAATTTACTGCTCGGTGAAGGCGGAGTGCAGGTCGCTGATCTCGGAGCGTGTGGTGAACTGGCAGGCGCGGGGAAACTATCTGGGGCAGTTGGTACACCCGCCTTTCGAGCACCGGAAGCATTTGCACCAGCGGATAAGTATATTGGCGAGGTATGTATTCAGAAATAAGCACCTATTCCAGATTATCATCAACTTGCATAAATCCACCGCGGGACATAAGCACACCCTTACTCATATTTGTAACAGTTGGATATTACTGGTTTGTTTATATCCGGCTCAAAGGACCAAGCCAAACATAATATATTAATAAGTACCTATTATTTTTTTTGTATTCACGTAATGGCCTTTTCATTGTTTAATACAGGCGGCAGATATCTGGTCATTAGGCGTGACATTGTACGCGATGGTGACAGGCCGAGTGCCATGGTGTGGGGAGAGTACAACGGAACTACAAAAGCGGGTCCTAACGGAGCCACTCTCTTTTCCTTCAAAACCAGCGCTCTCTCGACCACTGCGGCGATTGCTAGCTAGAATGCTTGACAAAAATCCAAATACAAGAGCTTTAATGCAGGAAATTAAAGTAAGTTTTAAATGTTTTGATGAAACTTCAAAATACTTTAAAAATTTAACTGAAATAGCAATTTTCTAAACACTTACTATGGCTCTCACAGTTGTTCATTAGTTACTTAGTGTCTCTAGATTTATAAGGGAGACTCTAAATGACAGAGTTCATCAGTTAGTTTTATTATAATCAATTGACGTTGATTTCTATAGATACTTCCAATATCGTATGGGCTGACGTAATTAAGGGTACACTTGGGAAGTTACTATAATCAAGGTAGTAAATAATAATTGAATCCTGCAGGAGCACGAATGGGTGACGAATGGTGGCAAAGATCCTCTTCCATCGGAACAAGAGAATTGCAGATTAGTTGAAGTAACAGATGAAGATATGGCCCGAGTCGTGACTTCAATACCTAACCTTTCAACATTAATACTCATTAAGACAATGCTCAAGAAACATAGTTTTCAGGTAATTAAAGCAATTTATTAAGCTAAATATCCCAAACCTTCCTCGGCAAGTTTATAATTCCTTACATATCTGTTTTAACTTTCGTTATATATTTAAAGCGCCAATAGCCTAATGGTTTGGGGTACGGACTACCGGTCTTGCGGTCGAGGGTTCGAATCCCGCCATTCGACTATCGTCGTGAACCATATCCTAGCACAAGCCTAGAACTTAGTTGGAACGGTTAAAGGAAATATTAGTAAAATAAAAATCTACTAATATTAAAAAAATATATACATCTAGCTGTAATTATTATTCTCTCTAGTAGTTGGTTACTAGTATGGTAATAATATAGTTAATAGGGAGGACGCCTTTAAGAAGGGAGCAAACCTTTCTCTTAAAGACCGACAAGTAGTTCCTTTAGTGTTGCTGTTGTCAATGGGCGTCGATGATCACTTCGGTGTTCCCGCTCCAGTATAAAAATAAAAATCAGTTGATAATTTGGTTTTGTCTTCCACAAAAAAAGGAAGGGAAACAAGTGAATTTTAAATATATTTTAGGTCTAATATAATCAAAGATTTATTTATTTATTGAAAGCATTTTCCTTTCAAGAATCCCTTCCTACGCAGCCGTGAAGGCAGTGCCCGTAGGGAGTCGAATGTCGGAGAAACCATCGACAGTGAAGCGCATAAGCAATCAGTTCGGAGAACTGCCCTATCGAAATCCGGACGCTCACTTTCGGCCCCCGGAAATTATCTTACGGAAAGGTAAGTTTGTTTTGTAAGAATATGTTTCTAAAATACTACAATTCAGTTTTGATTGTTTATTACTACAGCAGGTTTAACGTTTTTGTTTTTAATTGCATAAAAATAGTGAATTTTAAAATGTAACCAATTCTATGTTATGTTAAATTTTGGATTGATCTCTGAATTGAAATAATTAAATAATTCATTTTAAATCGGAGTCTTTTATGATTTATGAAGTTTAAAATTAAGTATAGTTAATAAACTTCAGATAAATTTGATTACATCTGAAGTAAGTGTGACAAATGTAATGAAAAGCATTAAAAATTACAGTCGCCAACCGTCGTTTGATATTGGCTTAGAAGCAGTCCAAGAAACGAAGGAAAAACCTGTTGAAACGCCTGTCAAAGAAAATGGTAAATTTGAGACAAGAAGGTGATGCTGCGCGTGGGCGCATCGCGCTAGAGTTTAAAAAGAAAACCAAATAGAAGAAAATCTCATTCTTTTAACTTTACCTTCCATCTGTAGCAATTATCGCTACTAGATATTGTTTACGCAACCTTTAAAAGAAACATTTAAAACTTCGGAGTGTGATTCATGAAATTTTGGATTGAAAATATTATTTTTAGGTCCCTAAAATATAGAATTTTTGATACCATTTTGTTGTAAATGGATAGATATATGTAATTATAAAATATATTCATAATATATTTTCATATTAAAAGCCTACAATCGAGGTTTATATTTCAATCCATCTGACGAAAATAGTAACATCTCATCGTCTACCGTCTTCAGAGATGTAACTCGTTGCATGGATGGATTTGTTTTGGTTTACCCTTGTAAAGTCAAATGTACTTTTAGATAAAGTGATATTTTTATATTATCTGTAATTAGTTTTAGCATAGGTTTTGTGATTCAATTATTACTAGTTATAATATATTTCATTCCTCAACTAGTCGTAAAATCCGTAGCTAAATTGTAAATAGCATTTTATTATCTTTATGAACTCTTTCTATTGTAAGATACGCACTATTTTTATTACTATAAAGTCACAATTATCTACTTAATATGTACCTTTATATTATCATTTATATTTTCTTGTCTGTTGGAGTCATTAAAGTTTTTACACTGTTTTTTTTTACACTATATTTTTTATATTTTAAATATCGAATGTTATTCTGTCATTTTGTTTTTTTAACTAATTTATAAGATTTTACTTAATGTTCTAAAGAACCTGTATTCAAATCAAAATATTTTAAGTTATAAAACCGTATTTAACAATAAATTACAAAACATGATTTTAGAGTATTTAAAAAGATTTGGACATTTAATGTTTGAATTAACTTAAAGATAATCGCACAACGAACAAACCACTGCCCAGTTTCCACAAAATAAATGAACATTATAACGTGGATTGAACAATCAACATTTTAATTTGTCAAAAAAACAATCAAAAATTTAATGTAAGTAGTATTTTTATAAAAAGCACACTAAATGCATTTCTTACGTTAATTATTCTTATACGGTATGATTTAAATTTCTGTTACTCATTTCCAAAACTTCACATGATCTTGTATTGTTCTTTAAGGAGTTTAAATTTTAAACGCACATAGATTATTGAACCTTTCTGATTTGATAAAAGATTTAAAACTATAGTCTCCCTCCATTTTTAACGAATAATCCCAAAAGGCTTTCTACAAATTTTAAAGATCTTTACCTAAATTACTGGCAGCAATTTTAATTTTTAATCTTTGTACAATTGGTCAAAGAGCGTGTAAAAAAGTTTTTTCATCTTAAAATTATTACTGTTTTCACCCTTGGCAAGCAAATGGTCCAAATATTGTATCGCCTTTAAATGTTGTGATAGAAGATTAGGTTACAAAATGCTTATTTAAAAAAGATTATTATTATATAAATTGTCTAGATTATATTAAATATAAAACAATTTCCAATTTTAAAATAGTTTTAATATATATTAATGATATTGCTTTTGTAAGGGTTCATTGGCTTTAGATAGATAATGTAAAAGGGCTGGTAGATTTACTTTTGGTACATATGTATTCGTATTTATTACTTAAACAACGTTTTTAATAATAATTTATTTCCCGATTTCACTAATTTTTCACTTATTAATTTTAATTAGATATTTCTCAAATTCTTATAAAGATATGTTCAGAAATCTTAGGTAGATGGCTCAACTCTTCTAGTTAATGAAAATACATTTTCAATCACTTTTACTAAGCATTATTTGCTACGGAAATGCTCACAAACTACTCGATTTTAGATTTCCACGATCAAATAGACGTTAGAGAATTCTAAATCAGTGCTCAGTCAATCAAGCTTAGCTTTGAAATCGACAAACATCAGTAATTACCGATTTCACAGGATAAATTAACGCGTTTTATAACATCCATGAATATTGCTGCATGACCAACATTGTTTTAGAGATAGATTGAGTGTTTCCCGTTGTGTCGATTGACCTAATGAGATTTTTTCCCTTTGGGTCGATTATTGGATTTGATCGGCCCGATGGCAAAACTATTGGATCGATCAATCCGTGGGTCGATCGACATATCAGGAAAACCCGATATATCGTGCGAAAAGTTATTTGACAAGGGAGGGGATGTACAGTAAGGGATATTCGCTTTCCTTTAAAGATCGAATATTGACGTTTTCCTAGACCTAAATTAGCATACGCTTTGTTTCTTATGGACCTAATAATATCGGCGTCAAATGGGTCTGAAATTAACTTTCTTTACTGTAAATTCTTTCCCAAGGTAAGATTTTATGTTAGCTGGTAAGAAAGGTAACTCATCTTCAACTTTTTGGTCACCTTTTAGTATACAAAGGCTTGAGAAAAGAAATGCCTAGGTAAATAAATATTTCCTATACGGAATGATGAATGCAAATTGCGTTAGACATTTATTGAAAAGATGACGGTGTATATTGTTGATTTATTAATTCATTCTGAGTCGAATAAAATCTTGCAATAAATGGATTGTTTTTTCCTTCATTACTCCCGCATTTCCTTGAGTACTGTGAGATTTTAATTTTAATAGGTCAAGATTACATGATCCTAATTTAAGTGATTTTTTAAACACCAACGTTTTTGACAATTATTAAGAACACTAGCTTTCGCCCGCGACGCCGTTCGGGAGGAATTAAAAAAAAACTAGCTGTTCCCGTGCGACTTCATCCGCATGGAATTATAAAAAAATTTTTTCATTGTTTACATTTGTTACATTATCAATTACAAATGTCAAAATGACATGACATGACGACAACCTTGCTTCCTTGATGTTGGCAGCAAAATTACGCTTTATTATAATAGAATAGAAATACGATTAGCCTATGTGTTCTTTCAGACTATCCTCTACATCCATACCAAATTTCATGGAAAATCGTTTAGCAGTTTAGGCTACAAACTCTAACAAACATCCATCCATCTAAACTTTCGCATTTATAATATTAACTTGATTAGTTTGATTGCTATTGAAATAATGACGTCATAAAGGATGTTAGAATGACAAATAAAAAAGGGATTTAAAAAATTAAATTAAAAATGAATAAAACAGTCATAATGAAATACACTACATACATATACATAATTTGTATGTAATATTTTTTCGTCACAATTTATAATAAATGAGAGTTACGTCTTTTACGTGACGCCCGAGGCTTTGTAGGAAACTTTTTATTTTCTTTACAAAGTCGGCTTACACGGTATTGGGGTTGTTTTGGTAATTTAAATACTGTGTAAATTCAAACATGTTTTCATTACTAACATGAAACATGATGTGTTATTTCAAAAATATTGTACTAGCGAACCGCTCCACCATTTCTTGTCAGCATACTCATATCCTTCCCGTTGATATAAAAATAGCCTATGTTATTCATGTAGCTTTGTAATGGTGATAGTATTCTTGGAATCAGTTCAGTAGTTTCGTAGCCCATTCAATGCAAATAAACAATAAGGTTTTATCTCATTTTACAATGTGGGAAATCTATATTATTATAATAAAGCGTAAACACACACTTCTTTGTTGCCTTAGATGTCAGCAATTACAGCATATTATTGAATAAGTCTTTTTTTAATAAAAAGCCCTACACTTACGTCACGCTTTAGGCTATATATTTTAACGCCATTAAACCCTAATGTGGGAAAGAGACCATAAGTTGCTGCCAACATCAAGGAAGCAAGATTGCCATAGTAAGGTAATTGGTATTTTGACATTTGCAATTGAGAATTTGACAACTGCAAACAATAAATTATAATTTCATGCGGATGAAGCCGAACACGAACTGCTAGTTCTAAAAAAAATGTTATCTCTGTATGGCTTGACTGTCGATATGTCAAAACGTAATATATTTCTCGAGCCTAACAATTAAACATATAAGAAAATGTGGATAAAATAAATACAGTAAATATTTAAGAACGACTCTACATCAAAGTGTTTTATATTCAGGTTAATAAATAACAAGCCGAGTTGTCTTTCCTTTGATCGTTCAATCGCGAGATTGAAAAGTTCCTACCACAGAGAATATAAGTTTTTCTAGATTTTTCATTAACATGTTTCATTTAGAAGGAATAAAATGTATCTTAAGGTTCATTTTATTTAATACTTGCTGTTCCAGTGCGACTTCATCCGCATGAAATTATGAACATTTTATTTCATTGTTTACATTTGTCAAATTATCAATTGCAAATGTCAAAATGACATGACTATGACGAACCATGGCAATCTTTCTTTCTTAACGTTGGCAGCAACTTATGGTCTCTTTCCCACATTAGGGTTTTTATCCAAAATATTTACCCCTAAGTTTAATGGCGTGAAAATCTATAGCCTAAAGCGTGACGTAAGTGTAGGGCTTATTATTAAAAAAAGAATTATTTAAAAATATGCTGTAATTGCTGACATCTTAGGCAACAAAGAAGTGTGTGTTTACACTTATTATAATAGTATAGATACAGATAGATAGATGTAGATTTATTTTAGAAAAAAAGTTCTTTGATTAAAAAAATAAAGAATTATCTTTGAATTTCTTTGCCGATATATGGTTGCATTCGCTATAAGAACGACCAGTAAAATGACAGGATTCGAACCCAGGATCTGCAAATTACAAGCCAAGTACTTAACACCGGAGACACCGACCATCTTTTTATGATCTAAAAGCATCCATTCGTCAGAATTTTTATACGATTTGAATTTTTATAGATATTTAATTTGTTCCCCGAGGCCATGACTTCCAATTACTCTCGAGTTGTTTGAACATAATTTAATACAGACTCAAGGGATGAAAGCAATTGAACATGATGACGCTAAGAAAAAAAATGTTTTCTAAATTTGAATATTTTGAAGCGTGCTTGTATTGCAATGTTTGTACATTAGTGATTGCGTTAGTGTTGAAATATTTCGCTAAACCAAATTATGGTGAATTTGATTCTACTGATTTTAGTGTGTTAGATTTCCACTACCGAAATACTATAAAAACAAGTTATCCCACTTGATTCTTAAAAAAAAACACATGTGTTACACATTACACTTTTGTATCTATACTAATATTATAAAGAAGAAAATTTGTATTTTTTTATGTATTGAAAGAACTCAAAAACTACTCGGACAATTGCAAAAATTCTTTCACAGTTAAAAAGGTAATTTAACTATGAGTGATATAGGCAATATTTTTTATTAGTTTTTTTTTAATTTGATGCGGAAGACGTCGCGAGCAACAGCTAATAAGTAATATGACAGCGGAAACTCACGTTAAGGGTCACGTTAAGGTCCCATTATTTTGTTTAATTTTAGAAGTCAAAGACTACGGCGTAGTTAAATAGTATATCTCAAAATCGAAAATTCGGATTTTTTGCTTTCTTTGCTTACGTTTGGTAGTTTCCTATTCATTTTATTAGATATAAATAAGCTAGATAAGTATTTTTTCAATGTATTGGCGTAGTCTATGTCAATACAGGATTAACGAAGTTTCTTAGCTTATCAGTATTCTATGTAAATCGCCTTTGTGCTGAATTATTCATACCTTTAAGTCCAGGGGACGGATTTTCTTCGAGCTTTTTATTGGACTACTTCTGTGCGGAGTGCACCGATATTTATTGATATAAATTCTGACTAT